CTCTTCCATGCTCTTTCTCTTTCTCTTTCTCCCCTTCCTTGCTCTCTCTCTTTCTACTATTTCTTTCCGTCTTCCTCCTCTCTTTTTCCCTCCCACTTCCTCTTTATTTCTCTCCCTTGTTCTCCTCTTCCTTCCTCAATTTCTTTTTCATCTTAATTTCTATTTTTTTCCCTCTTCCTTTTTTTCCTTCCTCTTTTCCTTTCACATTTCGTTTTCTTTATTCCGTGTAATCTCTCTGTTTTTCTGCTCTCTTATTTCACTATTTTCCTTGCCAACCTTGTGTTTCTTCTCTTTTCCTTTTGTCTTCTTCTCGTTTTGTTTTCCCTCTCTATTGCTTTCTTCTTCCTCACTCACTTTGCCTCTCATGCAAACACAGATACACATAAATGCATGTATAAATACATATATATAAACACACACAAACGCATGTAAAAGCAAAGACATATAAACATACATAAACACACACACACACACACACACACACACACACACACACACACAGAAACACATGCATACAGCCTCATCCTCTGTGTTATGCAGCTGCATATACACTTTTGCTCTGGATTCTTGTTTCGAACGTGTCTGTCTGCCCGTTTGTTCTTTGTGTTTATCTCTCTGATTCCTCTCTTTATCTGTGTCTTTCTATTTAAAGTTTTTTTTTTCTATCTTCGTCTCCCGCGTTTTTTTCTTGTAGTCTGTCAATTTTCCCTGATTCTTAGTCTGTGTATATCTCTCTACATTTCTCCTATCGTCTCTCTGTCTCTCTTTCTCTTTCATTTTATTAACTTTCTCTCCTCTTCAAACAGAGATGTAAACGTCCAAATGATTCCATTCACGAGAAAGGCTCTCAAACCACACGCATCGAATGACGTCATCCATCGGCCGCCCCGAAACCGAGCAAAAGTTTCCATTCAGTTCCCTATCAAGTTGTTCCTTTTTCTCGTTTCTTTTCTCTTCTCTTATTTTTTTTCTTCTTCTCTTTCGCTTTTAAGTAGTTATTTTGATTTTCTTTCGTTCCTTTTATATTCTTTTATTTATTTCTTTCGTTTTTTTTGTCTTCCTTTTCTTTTATCATTTAC